AGACAGATTAACAAGGGAAAAGCATAAAAATATATTTAATGTAAGTTTTGTGTGATGCAGCAACCCTTATAAGGAAATAATGACTCATTGAAGCGGTTAAACCTGAGCATTTTAATGCTAAGTTTGTTGAAGAGTGGAAAGTCTTGGAAAAATGTGATTGGGCAAAAGGATATGAACTAAAGATAGTAAATGTTGGGGAGCTTAGCAAGGCCTATTCATTCATTCATTCTGATTTCTCTTGGTGTCCCTCCATCTACAGAGAAAAGAATGTTCCTTTCCTCCAGGTATAGGGAGGGTACCTCTCATGTAAGGTCTTATGACCTTCTTCAGGGGCAGTGGGGGAGGTCAGAGTATCTGCCTTTTCTCAGATTCCTTTACCTTAAAATATTTGCTATGCCAAGTTACCATATTCTGTGGTAACATGTCCAGAAACCCCATCACAAGCTAAGGTTAAACACTACAGGGACCATCTCAGACAGGCTATTGGTTAGGGATCAGAGGCTTAGACCATAACTTAGAGTCTGGAAGCAGGTTGTGTTCAAGATGGTTGGCCTGAGCTGCAGATGAACACCTGCTTGTCATAGCTATTAACTATCAGGGTCTCCAAGTGCCCTTCAGAAGGAGCTGGCTTTAAACCTTCAGTCTCCTTGGTGGTTGTTAGAACTTTACAGAATTGCTTGACCTGATTTGAGTAAGTGGAAGTCTGCAACCCTTCCTCTGATTGCTCCTAACTTTCTCTAATTAACCTCCATAACTACTTGCTCAAAGTCCATATTCTGCATATATTTTATATGTTCTGCCAGTTCCTGAACTCCTCATTTATCTTGATGACATTCAATTCTATACTGAATACTTCACACACCTTGTATTTAATGTTAAGACAAACCAAAAAAAAAAAAATTACTACGGAATGTTTACCTGGGTAACTTAACTTTGGGGTGCTGACCCCAGGATGAACTGATTTCAAGATGTATGTAGTAGAGTTAGCTGCTCTGTAGAGTTGTGAACTGGAAAGCCTTTAAGTGCCAGGAAACAATTTCTTCCCCCACCTCACATGCACTGCACACACACCCCTGTGGCAATTTAATATTACAGAGATTTAATTTGAAGCCATTCTTTTTCTCAGTTACTAAAAATAAAACAATCAGGGTTACATCCGTGTAATTGCATTTTTACCAAAAATGATAGTGAGACATTAGTGTACAAGTTAAAAAAGAAGATGAAATACAGAACATCTACCTGTTTTGACCCTCTGAAAACTATTTTCAGATCCAGTAAACATTCATTTCTACCAATCTTGATTTTTCAAGGGGATCAGTAAGCATCTATATGAAGCTTATGCACCCTAGACCATAACCAGCTCTCAGTGTCAAAAAAGTCAGTGGAGGGAGGGAGGGAGGGAAGAAAGGGAACGAAGGAGAAGGAAGGGAAGGAAGAATTTTTTGTTATTCTTAACAGATTTCTCCACAAAGTGAAACAGACTCTGAGTAGTCAATAATGGCATGACTGTTTCCAAACCTCTCTGCTCCTTTGTTTGGTAGGCCCATGAATTCAAATTGTCCAGTGGGAAATTAGTATTTGTTTTAGAAAGCACATCTGGTAAGCTGATAGATCAGTAATTATAAAGTAATGGGGAGTTTGCTTTTTTAAGTGAATATACTCTAGTTCCAAGCAAACAGAAGCATGTTAACCATTCAGGATACTAGGAAACACAGAGATTACATCAGTTCATGGGGTTTTAGAGTCAAGGCTACACAAAGGAATGAGGGGCATAGCCAGTCCTCCTGGAGACCTGGAAAATCCTCTTCAAAGGATGCCAGGACCTGGTGGTTTGCAACTGTGAGGACAGTGGTTGTTTCCTTAGCAGTAGGCTTTGCTTTCTGCGTGACTGTTCCTCCATTCCTTCTATCATCTTGCATAGAAAGCTGGAGAAGAAAGCCTCTGAATGTCACCCGAAGCTGAGCATCCATGATGGCGTTCATCACACTCACTCTGGCCTCTGGACCTGTGTTCAGTGCTGCATGTGCAAGTCATCATGTGATTACTAGTCTTGAATATTTTCCCAGCAGTGAGACTTTTATGAAAAAGTTTAATTAGATGTGGTCTTGGGATTTTGTTTAAAATGTTGCATGGTCAGAATTTGAACTGTAAGTCCTTTTCAAATAAGGCATTAGAAAGAGAGCAGGTAGGCAGTAATATTCTTATTTCCCACCTATTAAAAAGAAAAATGGCGAAGGTAGCGGTTGTCCCAAAAGCAATGTTGCAAAGGCAATTGACTGGGAGTAGGACCAGATGGTCATGCTGTCATTAATTATAGCCTATTTATAAACTTTGAAACAATATCCATATATTTAATGCCTACTGTGCCTTTTGAATTATGGAAGGAACTCTTAAAAAAAAAAAAACTTCCCATGTTACCTTGATTAATTGATTCAGAAGTTGGTAACCAAAGAGGGAGATAATCCTTAGGTCCTGTTTATCTCAAGCATGTGCAGTTATAAGAATGTGGGACTGCACCGTTAGAGGTTTCTGAGCATTTTTACTGGACTCTGGGACCGGAGCTTCATAGTAGAGTCTTAGAAACTAAATTATGACTAGATAGATAGTGAGAACTGCAGAGATTTACCTCACCAGAAGTAAATTTTCAGGGAGCAGGATGGGGAGAGGGATGAGACCCAGCCTGATGGAGACATTCCCAGGGTTGTTCGGTCTTATCTCCCCACCTAAGGCAATATATTACTTTCTGAAGGGTAAGAACCCAAGATCCTTCCCTAGTTGAATTTGTTTACATTAAGGAGATAAGATTTCTCTCCCTCTGCCAGAGGGAAGGTCAGAGCAGCACTACTGTCCCTCTCCTATATAATCACCCAGATTGGCATTTTTTAGATTCCTTACCTACAGTGTAGACCAAGTATAGGATGACGACTGGTTTTCATTGTCCAACTAGAAAGAAAAAATTAGGGCATGGAGAACCAGTGCAATAAGTTTCTGTAAGTAAATAGTAACTTATTCTCCAGAAACCTCGTCTTTACATCCAGGATAATATAAATAAGTGTAGATATTATTAAAAACTCTAAGTGTCAGCTCAGACACGTGTTAAAATATAGATTCCAGGCAGACTCCTCCCTTCCTCTCTCCCACACTCTAATTCAGGAAGTCTCGGTGCCCATGAGTCTGTATTCGAGCAGCTGTCCCAGGTGATTCTTACCAGACTTGTTGGGAAACTCTGCACTTGTCCCTGACCCAGGAATACAAAGTGCTTCTCACAGGATGCCAGCCTGCCTCTGCAAGGACGATGTCTCAGTTTCAGTTATTGTCCCCTCTCTGCCCCATTTTTTAATAGTAAATAAGTAGATTTAATGATACAGAATTGTTTTTCATTTAGACTTTAGGATGAAAATTGAAGGCTGACCAACATCTCTCATTGGGTTTTCTCTCTTATCCATACAGTCCCTTTTGTTGTTGTTGTTGTTGTTGTTTAAAGAAATTTACTGTCATAATCATCAGATATTCTGGAATCTTTAAATGACCAACTGTTTTATTCACCCAAAAACTATGATCTCAGTATTCTACCGAAACTTCACTGACATCTCCGTTCTCTTTGATCATTATTTTTATAATCCCTTTACGTTTGTATATTGCTTTTCAGTTAGCATGATGCTTTTACATGTATTGTCCCATTTGATTCTCAAAATAGTCTTTGGAAATAACAGGGACTCTTAGGAGTGTTCTACTAGTTATGTAAATTTGAAATGAGAGTTGAGAAGACCAAAGTTCAGTATATGTGTGGGTGGTGAGTTGTCTTGCTGTGGTGTGGAGGCACTTTGAACTGAAAAGGAATCTCTTTGTTGGCATATCATCAACAGCTAACGAATAATAGACATTGTAGTAAATACCATTGGGACATATTGAGGGTTGACCTCTAACAAGATTCACAGAAACTGCTGTCCGGTCCTGCCTCAGCTCCTGGTAATTATTTTTCTCTAACCAAAAGATAAATATAAATATGCAAGTACTTGCACTGATAAGAATTATCAGTCTTCAAACTGTGTTTCACAAATGACTTTGAATCCTTTCAATGCTAAACAATAACCACAGACCTTGATAGTTCAGTCTCCCAAGCCCTTTCACACATACTATCTCATGTAATTCTTAACAACTACATAGGAGATACATAAAATATTTGCCTCTTATGGAGGAGGAAATAGAGGCTAAGAGAAAGCCCGAGGCCATGTACTCAAGAGGTGGCAGGTCCTAGGCCTCCACGTAGGGTGTTAAGACTTGTGGCCTGGTCTCCTCCTGGGAAAAGGCACTCAGATTGTGAAGAAAAACCAATAAGGGATATGTTCTGCTTCAAGTATCATAAACCCTGGAATTTCCAAATTATTTAAATACATCATTTTCCAAAGTCTCAGACTCTAGGCAGCATGAGTGCAGTGGAGGCCAGGAAAGAATGCTGGCTAAGAGCTAATGACACCAATGGTAAGGCACTGCTGCCTCACCCAAATAAGGGGACTGCTGTGATGGTTAACCTCAAAACAGTTCTAGAAAGATGGTGCCCCTCCCTGACTTTAATTCGTCCACATCCATTTATGAGGCAAATTTGATAAGAATTCATTATGGCAATAGCTATATGAAAGTGTGGACCGTGGGGCACCCACGTGGCTTTGTTGGTTAAGCATCTGACTCTCAGTTTCGGTTCGGATCGTGATCTCGGGGTTTGTGAGTTTGAGCCCCACATGGGGCTCTGTGCAACTTAAAAGAAAAAAAAAGAAGAAAGAAAATGTTGGCCATGGTTCTAGAATCTATTTCAGTTCAAACAAGATAGCTACTAAACTTAATGCCCTAGTAAAAAAATGCAAAAATTTTTCCTCTGTTGTGTAGAACAATTTCTCATACTCTTACTTCAAACTTTATTGAGAGTCCCATCAGAATTCAGTTCAACAAGTGTTACATCTGCCCTTTCTTTGTCTAACATGTCCGTTTATTTTGTAATACAGGATCTTCAGAGGCAGGCTGGAACACTGGAAACTGAAGCCATCCCCCACAGCGCAGGCCACCACCCGCTCACCATGCATGCCTTTCTCGTGGTTTAATGAAAGCCGAAAAGGATCCTATTCCTTCAGAAACCTGCCTTCACCTACAAGTCCCCATCAACCTTCTCCTGAAACTCTAATTTCAGATAAAAAGGGGTCCAAGGTAGACAACACATGGATTTAAAAAGCAAACAAGAAAACCCCAAATCCTTCCTCCTCTTCAGTCTTTGGAAAACGTTCTCAACTTGTTTGTTTACTCTGGACCCGAGAAACCAATGTGATAACACTGCAATAAACCGTGCATGGTATTTCTTGTGTGGGGAGAAAGAAAGCCTCAGTTAACCATCACCTTCTTTAATTCTGTTCCATTCTAGATTGTACGTTAATCTTTGATTTGCCTGTCTTTTCACATACTGCTGTTTAATCTCAGTTTGACAGTTAAGCCATGCTGGGAAAGATGCATTTGAGTCATGGACCAGTATGATAGATCTGTTTACCAGTATTCCACTTTAAATTACATTACAAGACTATTTTTACTGCGTTCCTCAAGATTTACTGGTAAACAAATAAATTTGGGACTGAATATGTGTTCAATATATCTAAATGAAACTCTTTAAAACAAACCAATGCTGACATAGCACCCTTACCTATTTCTTCCTTTAAATCAAACTTCCATGTTGAAAAACTTATAATCGCATCACCAAAGTTCTTTAACTTTAGCAGAAGTAGAAAGTATAAGACATGGACATTGTTTATTTTTAAATGCATGATGGTTATTTCCAGCATGACGCTGCAAACCTTATCTAACATTTTATTGAAACACATACGGTGGCTAACTTTCACATGTTGTTTGGTCTCCTTTTATCTGTGTTTGCTTTTCCTTCTCAAACAGAAATGTGTGATTAATGTTACTTGAATTTAACTCTTTTCTTGAGGTCAACAGCTCACAAGGTTTTGGCGGGGTTTAGGGTTGTATCTCTGTTGACAGTATCAAATAGTGATGTGCTGTGTTACATGCTCTCCTGCTTAAATGTTCTACTAGCCTGGCTCCACGTTCCCGGATTTAGTCTGCGTGTCTGAAGTTTTTGCAGACCTTGGGATTTGTCTGGAACTGACTTCTCCAGCCTCTGGCATGGTATTGATTTTTGACAACCGACTGAACCCAGTGGCAAGGGAACCTAATGTAAACCTAACCGTCCAATTCCTAAGGAAGTGGAATATGAAACAAGATGGTGTTGGCCAAGCACTTAAGAGTTCCTAGGAAGCCAGTCATTCTAGAAATAGTAGCAAAAGAAGTTTTGGCAGCAGTCGATCAGTCTGATCTTGTAACATTTTCTGTATTGGATCTGAGAAATCTAAATGTAGTTTGAATAACTCTACCATTATCTTGCACTGGAGAGCCTCCAGATTTGGCTTAAGGTATTTTTACAAATGCAGCTGTGTGGTCATTGTGACCATATTTGACTGTAATATCCACGGAACACATTAATGAAGATCTGGGGAAGTTTTGTTTACACCGCTCCCCACCTCACCCCTGCCCAATGCCACCACCCCTAGGTGATCATTTGGAAAGTGTATCTGTTCTGTAGCCTCTTTGGTGCTCTGCTGATGCTGTGTGAGAGTTGCATTTTAGCATGTAACGACTAGTGTCTTGTCAGACTGTGACCTCCCCCAGAACTCATCATCATGAAGGTTATATCCAGGGGAGGAGCTGCCATTTCTCACAGCATTTATCATGGCCAACAGCAAGTGATCCTTCCCAGGGGGTGCTCAAGCTACCTTTCTAATATGGATGGCCATCTGTTCCTAATAACTCAGGCTCTCCACACCATCTTGTATTTTTACTTGCACGGTTACTCATCACAATTAGGGTTAAAGAAGATAGGCCTATGAATATGACTCCTCTGAGCAGTCACAGAGGATAATGAATGTCGTATCCTTGAAGAGGGATTGAAGAATCATTTCTCCAAGACACCTGTCCTTTCGTCTGATGGAGAAAGCACCCAGAATTCCCTGTCAGTTGCAAACGGCACAGTGTTCTCAACCACTGCCACTTGAAGGTCATCACCAAACCAAATGTGAATTTCTCCTAAGATTACTTAAAGAGAAGCTTTTTAAAACTTGCAGATACACCTACCTCTGGTTCACTCACTGTGTTCATGTAACACTGAGCTTCATTTATTTTTACAGAATTTTACCTTCAACGATGACTTCAGTCCCAGCAGCACCAGTTCGGCAGACCTGAGCGGCCTAGGAGCAGAACCCAAAACCACAGGACTCTCCCAGTCCTTAGCGCTGTCGTCAGATGAGGTATGCTCATGGCGCTCAGATTCCCCCACTGTCCTTGTCACCCACCACCAGGAAGGTGTTCTTAAGTAGGCTTTGTACATAAATCATTGGGATCACGGTTTCATGTTGGATAGGAAATCACGACTTCTCTCCCTCTGTATCTCAACATTAAGACAAAGGACTGTTTCCGAGTCCTTGAAGCTCTCCAAGGACCTCCTCCACCTTTCTCTGATTTAATTGAGATGACGCTAACCAGAGGGGTGGGGACGGGAGCCTGGGCACTAGAGAGCACACACAGGGAACAGTTCAGAGACCAGCAAGGTCTATGGACTCTCCATCCCCTTTCTCCCTTGCCTCCCCCACCATCACCCCTGCCCCCAGGCTCTGATATTCCCTCTGAGTAGGGCATGGCCCCTCATTGAGAGCCTTTGTGGTAGAGATGGAGAGAGATATACAGTTCCCAAAAGGAAGGAAAACTGGGTGAGAATCATCTATTTGGAAGCCAGGGTCAAATTAGCATTGCCAAGAATTCCCAGAAGATAAATGTGTACAGAGAAGCAGGAAATTACATTAGTGATTGACTTAGTGTCCCAAGAGGTAAGGAGAGGAAAGAAATACCATTATTTAGGGCAGGGGGTGGGAGGGAGAGAGGCACTGTAAATAAAGATACTGTTGTTCCAAATGTTTGTTCTAAGTTATTTCTTTCTAACATGACTTTTGTTTAATGAAACTTTTTTTTCTCTTAAATGTTTCTGCCCATACTCTTCAGGCTTGGCGTGATTTTAATTTTAAAACTTTGTACTGTGTATGTTGTGTCTCCTATTTCTATAACACTTTTCTTTTTGGTTCCTTTGTTGCTCCCTCACTCAGAGCCTGGATATGATAGATGACGAGGTGAGCTATCAATGGGCTGCGTGTGGTGGCTTGTGTGGTATTGTTCAAACCCCTTCTCTCTCCACAAAATGATTTAAAACTCAAACAATACAAGAACACTGGTGTCTGTGGTGGAGAATTTCCTTGTCCTAAATAGTTTCACTCTCTGCCCTTGTCTTGATCTAAGTTTAAAAGATGTTTCTGAGTCAAGAGGATCGCCACATTCTACCCCCAGAGTCCCTCGACTGATTCCGCATCACCATTACCCTGCCACGGTCCATTCTGTTCCACCTCCTTTGCCTTCATCTCAGCTTACCCCATCCCCTTGTCAGTGTGGCCCGAGGTGACCCTTGTCTCTCCTCCCAGACCTATCTTCATCTTCATCACCTCTCAGCTTAGAGGTGCTAGGGACCAAGCTGCCCTCTGCACTATTAAAAGTGATGTTCTGCACTGGGCAGAGCCTACAATGTGGAATAAACCAGCTCTTCCAATTCCTAGCTGCGTGATCTCGGACAGATCCGTAGACTTGCTGAGCCTCACTTCGCTCATTTATTAAAAGTCATTATGGACATGACCTGCCCTGCCTTCCCCACAGGTTCGCTTGCTGCTCACATGAAATCACGGCTGTGAAATGTCCCCTAAGAATGCCTGAGGACCTAATGCTGTCCTCTTCTAAGGGAAAGATACCTCAATATTTTTAAATGTATTTTTACATATCTCTAATGTCTTATCCGAGGCTACATGCAGAGTGATGTGTTGCATATACAGATTAACGAAATACTTGTTTTCTGCATCTAATAATCTTTCCAGAGTGTTCTAGCGTAAAGACTTGCAACATTGGAGTGTATTTTTCAATATATAACATCCTACATTAAGAATGCCACTTTATCTGGGGGAATTTTTAAATTTCCAATTACCTAAACAATGTAGGCAATAACGACGTGTGTGTGTGTGTGTGTGTGTGTCAAACACACACACCGAGAACCATTAGATTTATCATTTTATGGTTTAAAAATAAATGTGGCTCTAGGAGGCAAGGGATTCCTTTTGATAGCATAATAAGCCGCGCTGAGACCTAGCATTTTGGTCCTTTAACAACACTGCGTAACATTCCTACCTCAGATCCTTGATGATGGACAGTCTCCCAAACACAGTCAGTGTCAGACTCGGGCCGTTCATGAATGGAGCGTGCAGCAGGTTTCTCACTGGCTAATGAGCCTAAATCTGGAGCAGTATGTATCTGAATTCAGTGCCCAAAACATCACTGGAGAGCAACTCCTGCAGTTGGATGGAAATAAACTTAAGGTAAAGAATTCTATGTCTGTGTTAGGTTACCAGGTATGATTTGTATTGCTCATAGCACCTACAATGTTTTCATTAGAGAAGAGCATTCTGCATCTCTGAGAGGTAATTCTCATCAACGGTCGGCAGAAAGGACGTTACATTATTTCTGAGTAGTAAATGAAGTTTCGGAAGGTCAGCAAGGATTCTAAGTCAGACTAAGTAGGCTGCCAAGTAGGGGAGCTAGGGACTCACTCCATTGCTTCCACCTCGCAACACATGGTGCATGGATGCACTCTACTGACTTCCTGTGGAGTGTGAGTTGTGATAGTGGCCAATGTGGACTCTCTTTCATCACATTAGAGTTAAAACCTAGATCCATGGATTTTTCCTTCTTTATTCATTTCTTCTCCACCCCCACTCTTCCCTGCACACCTCTCCAATACGGGGATGATATTCTCCACAGAATGTTCTTCCCCAACTATGTGCATGCCATGTGTTTCCCCACTCCATCCCACTCTCATTTCACCTGTCCAGTCCATCCCTTTTCGAGACTGAGGGGGCACCTACCCCTGTGGAAAAGGGCAAAAAGAACTTCCATTCGGCTCTCCACCCCCAGCCTCAGCCCCCTGCTGGGCTGAAGGGCAGATGAGTATCTCCTGACAGTCTTGAAAAGGTTAGAGATCAATCAATAGTCTGTGAATATGAAGGCCCCATTGACAAGGCTGTCCCTGTTGGGGAGATGGATGCATCCCGCTGTTGATTCTGAAGGTCATGAAACATTTAAAGTACGTTACCAACTCCCCTTATTCTGAATTCCAAGCTCATCGAGCAGCCTCCTCATTAACAGGATTCCTTTATAGGTCTGCCTACGGGGAGAAAATGGCTAGTCATGCTGACATGAGCCTTCCGGCCTCAAAGACATTTTTGGTCCTCATTGTAAATGATTACATTGGCAAAAAGGAAGCCATTTCATTCTCCCTGCCCTTCTTGGAGGCCTCTCTGGCAGCAGGTGCCCACTCCTATCTTTTAGAAATATTGATGAGTTTAGCAGTACTTTTGCTTGTAAATGTCTACAGCCCAAAGGTTGGGGAAGCACAACTGTGCCCCCTTTTTAAAATTCATTCACTCATTAATTACCAGTTTGGAAAGCACTTACTTAATGGGGTTTAGATCCTCCTAGGCTAGGAACTTCAAAGAAAAAATAAAGCCCAACCCCATGTGTGGAAATTTTTGGCAAATGTAATCCGCTCTTCCTCGTTTTATACCTCTTTGGTTATGTTTAAATTAGTTCTTGAATTTGAACATACTGTGATATCAACCTCTTCCTGAGCAGAGAGGCCACTGGTTTTCAAATTCCATTTGTTTATGTATTTCCTTCCTAGGCTCTGGGAATGACGTCATCCCAGGACCGAGCAGTGATCAAAAAAAAACTGAAGGAAATGAAGGTATCTCTAGAGAAGGCTCGGAAGGCCCAAGAGAAAATGGAAAAACAGAGAGAAAAGCTGAGGAGGAAGGAACAAGAGCAAATGCAGAGGAAGTCTAAAAAGACCGAAAAGATGACAGCTGCCACAGAGGGCGCTGGTGAGCAGTAACGCGCACCCTCTGGCAGACCAGTCTCCCTTCTTCGTGCCCCACTCTCCTCAGGAGGATGAAGGAACTGAGGGCAGGGGTGATGTGCGCTAGGCAGGTGGGGGAACCACGTGTTGCGTAACTGCATTTTCTGCAATAATAGAATACAATTTTAGTTTTCACCTACTGAAATAATCCCAAGCCACCTTTGGTTTCTTGCCACACCAAGGATCTCCTTTGTGAAGGATGCAACAGAGCTGTGTTTCTCTCTCTCTTACTTACCATGCGCTTGTGTTGTGTTGGGTGGGTTGTGTTGCTTGGAGAATGGATGTTACCCTGCCCAACAAAAGCATGACACCCCTGGTGTCATTACCGGAGGGCCATGAGTTTCTGGCCTGGGAAATCCTGATTCTGGGCAATGGCACATATCTGCGTGGCCGAGAACACCCCTCTGCCATGAGATCTGGGCTCCAGAATCTACCCCAGTGTGTGGGAAAGTTTCCCCCTCGTTTTTGTTGCTGGACAGTGAGACAACCCCACTGTAGAAACAGGCGTGCTCTGCCACGTGATTACATCCTGTGTAGAAAAGGCAAGCGAACTCTTCTATTTGCCGGGCATCAGAAAGAGAGAAAAGAATTATAGTTCTTTGTTAACCCCAGAAGGAAGCAAAAAACCTTAGGAATGTGGATGTGGGTATTACCTTGGGGTTCTGAGGGTAACATTTATCCTCAGATTTAGCCGAACAAAGAAAAAAATCCAGCGTTAGCGCAGCCATGGGGTATTGGGATCCATTGTTTACTTTGCTACTGCTGCATGGTCAGTATTTCAGCAATACTGACGCACATAACGTAGTTCCTTCTTCCCCCAACAAATTGAACAGGAAATTGATTTTTAAGGAAACCAGCATTTCCAGGTTTCCTCTCCTGGGGAACATTCTGGCTAGTCTTCAGCCTGCCTGTGACACAATCAGGAACTTGTCACATATTTTCTACTTAAGATTTCCCAAGTGGGCTCAGTTAGTGTTTTAACAAATGTACTTTTAAGAAAAATAGAAATACCAGTTAGGGAAAATTTAGATTTGAGTAACGTTCAACCGGAGGAGCAATTTTATTGAGCGCACAGAATGTTCCCGTAAAGGAGAGCTGACAGTTACATTTTAGAGATGTTTTGAATGGTTTTTCTGAGCCATTCTCTTTCATTCTTTAGAGATTTCCACTTTACAGTTAAAGTTTGTTTAAGAGAGTACACAGGATACAGTCTACCAGTGGAGACAGTTAATACTCATTTTAAAGCCAGTATTAAGGGTCTCAGTATTTCATCAAATTAATTCAAGTGTAGGGGAGACTAGGGCAGAAGGAGGAGAAAATAAATTCATCTGGAGAGATTTCAAATGATTGCTTGTTGTTTGTTGTTGTTTTGCTTTTTATGCTTGTGTTTCTGGTTGTCTTTCCTGCATTGGCTGTAAAAACGAGGTCATCCACTTTCCAAGAGACAAATTCCAAAATAAGAGTTGAGGCCAGACAAATTCTTGGACTCGTATTTTACTTCCTTTACTACATGGTGGGGGGAGTGGGGGGGATGGAGTCTCTGTCCATATCTCACACTAGAAATGTTGTATGCACAGAGCTTGGGGGAGGCTTTTGAAGGTTCCAAGTCACAGATATGTAAGAGGGCTGTTGCCCATATAGCGTCATCTTGTATTTTGTGTATTTTGAACATTGTGATTTTTTTTTTTTTTTTGCTTGCTTGAATGAATATCTGAAATCTGGGATTGGCTAAACTAGAAATTTATTATGCTGTCACTGGTACAGATCATTCAAAACTCAGAAACATTGACATAAGTTAATATTGTGTTTTACAAGGATCAGAGGCAGCATGTATGTTTTTCTGACTATCTTCATTTGGGGAATGATTATGAAACTGCCATACTGGATACTCTGTTAATATCTGAGATGTGTGGTGCTTTGCTATTTATTAATGTCATGAGAAACAAGGAACCACCACTCTTCATGAACTACAAAATTCAGCAGATCTTCTCTAATACTAAAAGACTAAATTAGTCAAAACCTGGGAATACTAGTGCTTGCTCTTGTAAATTTTGGCCATTTTTGCTTATCTTTGGGGGAGAAAAGGTGATCTGGATCACACTGGAAGTTTTTCTCTATATTCGTTTTAAGAGTGGAAATAGAGGAGAATTATTTTAAGTTGTGTTTACACTTTGGTATTATTTGAAAATGGATGTATATACTGGAAATGTCTGTAAGTCTCAGTCTCTGCCCATAATTTATTGCATTTTCTTAAGTGTCTTAAAAGTACTGTTCTTGAACTTTCTTTGTACACTTCCAACGTTTAGATCAGTGATCAACTGAAAATATTATAAACCAAATTCTTATTCCTCAAATCGCTTAGTTTGTATTATAACTATTTTAATTTGTTAAGTTATGGTAATTTTAGGTCTTAGCGAGTTACTTTAATATTATTGCTACTTAAAACTGCTGAAATTGTAAAAGGCACTCGATTTGACTGTCCGGCAAAGGACAAAATATAAAGTGATTGATCAAAGAGTATGAAAGCAAAGTGCAGGACCTCAGATCATATGAACATTTGGTTTTCATATTATTTCTTTTCTTGACTCTAGTGCATGAAGCCTCCCTGGGGCTCCAGTGTCTTCAACAACTCCTACTTTAATGCCAGTGCTTTTCAGTGTCCATATGGTTTAACACAGAATTGTTGCTTCATGAGTCTTAAAGACTTTGCAGTTTTTTATTTATCAGAAAGTGAACAAAAAGGGAGTATCTGGTTACTATGAACTATATTCCCTAAATGACAGCTCAGTGTGACTCTAACAACAGCCACATTGTTTTGGGGTATAGGTAATGCTTTGGGGGTTAGGGAATGTGTGGTGAGGCCAAGCTATAGACAAGGGAGCATTGTATGAGCTGAATGTCTAGGCATGGGTTTTCCATTAAAGGACTTTAGTTTTTATAACAGATTATTTAAAACCATCTCTCTTCAAGTAACTCATAGCTTATGTCATAGTTTTCACATTCTTTTTTTTTTTTTTTTCCCCTCCCTGAATCGCAAGTGTACTTCAGAGTGACGCATTAGGGCAGAAACTTGGTGTTGCCCATTCTGATACACTGATGAAGTCCACCATTAATTTTGTGACAATAAAGCTGTCATTCTATGCTATCCCTCTTTAGCTGGGGTTGACATGGATTTCTGGCCCTCAACGTCAGAGAAGCATTTTTTAACCCACGGCGGTTCATGATCGAAGATGACAGTGCTCATTCCACTGAGGGGCCTGAAATGGAAACACCTGCTTTGTGCTTCTTTGTTGTTGTTGGAAACAAAGTGGCGAGAGGACAGGAGAGGAACCAAATTAACTCCCACTGCTGCCTTTTATCCCATAGTCTCTCCAGCCCAAAACCTACCTGGCCCTTCAGCTCTTCCAGGTCCAAGCTCCCGTCACGGGTTGTGGGATGTAGCCCCCTAATTAGCTCTTATGGTTTTGGCTAAAGACAAAGAATTCTCGACTAGGTTTTTGTGTAATAGGATTAATGTGCATTAAAATTATATTTTTAAAAGGTAAATAGAATACTGCATTTATGTGGATATTTGAACTCAATTATAAATGTTAAAGGTTCTGTAGACCGAGCTTCAAGAGAAGAAACCCAGTGTTCAAAGATCCTAAAGGGAGATGTCCCAACAATTCTAGAAGTGTCTTTAATCTGGATGTGTGGTAGCCCCTCATTACGTTGACGCACTCAAGAATTATCAAATTTCATCTGAGCAGTTAAATTTATTGTCCCAGCAGGGCTCGGCTGAGGGGCATTTCACTCTGGTGGGCAGCAGGCACTCTGGTTCAGGTCGCCTCGTTAAGCCTGAGTCCTCAGTGCTTTCCAAATGAAAGGGGAAATGGAAAAGAAAAGCCCAGGCTTTTTAAAAATATCTTTTCAAATTTACCTTTGATCAAGGATCTACCTGTACACTATTCTGAAGCTGAGCACTTAAGGATGAAGTCCAGAAATAAAATGTCCATATTTTCCACTAGAAGCTGTTTTATTATGATAATGGAGGTGGGGAGTAAATTCTCAAAAGAGAACAGTGTTGTAAGAAATATGAATGTGCTTCAGTGACTCATTCCTGAAAAACGGCCTGGGTGTATTGGCAGATTTTTTAAAAAGTATATTTGTCTTAGGTATTTAAAGTCTCAGGAAGTTTAGTCTTGGTCCAAAACACTGGGGAAAAAATAATACTCAACAGTGCACCAGTAGTATTTGAATAAGTTATAGTAGCAACCTAGACTAGATCCAGCCAGGAAGTCAAGGGGCAAGGGAAAAGCTTACAGAATCAATTTCTCCATGCAAAATAAAAGCATCAAGTTCTACCTTATGGTAAACAGAGGGTCTTTAAGTGGTTGTGTGTGAGTGTCCGTGTGGATGTGTTGAGGGAATGGTGGTTACTTGAAGGCTCACATACGTGAGTGGTGTGTGACCCACTTCCAGATCTAGAGTGGGGAAGGAAAGAAAAGTGATGATTTCCAATCCTTGGCCCTGCCCCAACCCCAACACTGCTAGAGATTCAAGAATGAATAAGAGGTGAAGAATAAGAGAACCAGAGGCAACTTGTCAATAATGTGCATGCTGTGTGTGTAGATGTACAGAGCTACATATGTGTGAATATATTTCTACTTTACATGCATACATGCATACATACATACATACGCATGCACACACACACACACACACACACACACACACACACACTGCAATCACATGGCATAAAATATATATATATATTGTACATGGAACTTGGTACTGTCAGTTAGGACCCCAAGCAGTAATCATAGCCTTATTGCCACTGTGTGTGTGTGTACATGGAATGGCTCATAAGATTTTAAGAGATTTTTTTAATGTAAGTATTTCTACTAAATGCACTTATCCTTCTACATGTTTATATATTTTGGTAAAATTGATTTATTAGATACTTGGTATTTTAGTAAGATAAAGTTTCCTCAATGTTTAGTTAATGCTTTGATGTCAAGATTGCACATTGCTGAGTTGAACCTCAGAAACTTATGCAGCTTTGGGCATTTTCAACTGCGGACCGCAGTGTTCCTTGGCTAAAAATTACTCCTGTGTTCTTGTGCATTTGCTCATGCTCTTCAGTGACGCACTTGCTAGCCGTGGTGCTTACACCACTAACTGCCGGCTCTCTGATGGCAGTGTTGCCATTGCACGGTCATTTCTTTACTTTTTTTGTGGAGTGACAGCACGGTTAGGTCATTGCCAAATATAACGCAAGTGGATCTGAGCGTGAGTTATGTTGTTGGAAGGTGTCCCCTTCTCTTTCTTTCAGCTGCTTTATCCACACACCCATGAAAGAACCATTGGCCAAAAAATAGTTACATTACCCTGAAAAGGGGGAGTTAATAGGCACTCCAGCTAGATGACACCTACCAACAACATGAGGTTTAGTTAGTGCTTTGCAAAACTCCTTAAGTATATGTGTGTATATGTTTTCCTTAATATTATTTATGGTCATCACGATCATTGCTTTTGTATTTTTTAATGGTGTCGCAGTTAAACCACTAGTAAGTACATCTGCTGCGTATCACTAACGAAACCAGCCAGCTGAAAAGAGAAACGAGAGAATGAGTTCTTTTCCATTGTAAGAAGTTGATTTATTTTAATCTTTCTTTATATATCACTAAAGGAAAAGAGTTGTTTGAAAATTATTTTGAGTCCAGTAAGTATGGATAGCATGTTATCTGAAACTTTTAATTTGTACATTTTGGTGTGTGATCATTTGCATGGAAGAGACAATAGTGCCACGTCTGAATTGTTCTCTTGTGCTTGGTTAATATGTACTTCTCTAGATTGTTCTGTTTCAAACGACATTTCTTACTCTTTGGTTTTCAGAGGCGTTCAAAGCAAAATATCACAATGGTCCTCTGTTTTTCTGACCAATCTAAAAATACCTGTGATTACATTTAATTTGTCAGTGTAAATAAATCTCTTGCCAATGAGTATTATTGTTGTCAGACAACGAATGCAATAAAAAGAGAAATACGGATATCTATCAGAGTAATTTTTTTTTCTCTTCCATTTTCACCTTTGACTAAAACAAGTCTTGACTGGGTAAACCTGTATTAACTGTCAAAATATATCTATCAATCAAGAGCAGAGGTGCACGCTTCCCATGGAAATGAAACTAAAAATAAGTTTTAATGTTGGAACAGTGTAAATTGGCAGCTAGAATTACATTTGAAAGCACGACTATGGAAGTGGTCATAAAGGGAACGATGCTCCACTGGCAGCTTCCTCACTGGCTTCCTGTTCCCACCACAGCTGCACCAGCACCATTTCTGATACCTGTCAGCCAGGAGGGGTCTGTGATGGATGCATTAAACAGCTGGCCTCACACAGCCTGACGCAAGCTCAGACTCAGGCCATCCCGCAGGATGGCGTTCTTCGCGGCCATTTTATTTCTAAAACCTTAAAAGTTCTGAAGACTGGAACAGAAAAAATGAGGGACATTAATTTCTCTCTCTCTCTCTCTCTCTCTCTCTCACTCTCTCTCTCACTCTCTCTTACTCTGTCTCTCTCATACACACCCACACACCGCATGGTTGATTTGTGACAAAACCTTTGGCAATGCGAAAAAACAAATGAACTTTAGGCCAATTTTCTCTTCCTCAGAGTGTGTTATGAAATTGCTCACTGAGGGGAGGCCTGTGTCCCTTTCTGACTGATCCTGAGTATATGCTGTGTCACACAGGATAGCCTTCTTTCTTTGTCAGGGGATAGTTTGGGGTCAGAATTTGCTGCTTCCGTCAAGAACAAGAGAGAACAGAGTATGGTTACTTCAGTGATGATATCAAACAACACTTTCTAAAGGAAATATGTGGACTTTTCCAACATACGTACAACAGCCATTGATAGTTTCAAAAACGATATTTCAGAAAATCTAGCTTTGAGGGCTATGGACCGCATCACTGAATAAGTGAGCATTTGTAGGGCACGTGATCTTATGCTCACTGAAATTGTGACCAAAATAACCCTAATCTGATATGAGGAAAGAGTTTTCCAGGCCAAACAAAATGCTCCTGTTTATTACTTTAAGTTAGTAGCCTTAAAATGTTGACTCTTCTCAATTCAGCAGCAAGCCATTTTCCCTAAACTGCCAGCCCATCATTGTGGCAAGTGCCCTAGAAGAACATTGTTTGTAACATGACTGCCGTAGCATCCCAAAGAAAGAATCCAGACAGAAAGCCATCCTTTCAAAGGAGACAGACAAATGAAGATAGGTAACCTTCCCATCCCAGCTTTTATAAGAAAATGACAAAGTCATCTTTTCATCTAAGTCACGTCCCTCAGAAGATAGGCCAAGGCCGTTGATGTTTTTATTATTACTTTGTTTATCTTTCTGTTGTTTTCTTCTTAGCCTCCATTGCAAGTTACAATAGGAAGAAGAAGAAGAAAACTACGAACCACCACCACTTCTGACAAGAATATCGTCTTTGAGGAGCATTTAGCTTTACCCAAATCGATATGGGCTTCTTTCTGTATCCCATCATGGAAGCCAACAAACTTCTTTTCACTGGATCAAAGAAACTAAAATGCACAATTTATGCTGAGATAAAAGACACTCGTGTGACAGTACTCCCAAGAATGTTAAGGTGTTCCTTCATGCCATTGCTACAGGAGAACTCAGTAAATCAAAGGAAAAGGAGAGATGGGATCATTCAGGTTTATATTTACTGAGAAGGTCATACACAGTAGGGCAAATGGAAGTCAGACTGGGCCAGTATGTCTGATGGCTTTGCAAAGGAGGTATGCGTGCAGCTGAGGGAAATTGTGGTGTGCATCGAGCTTTCCAGCAGGTGAACCAGAGCCCCTTGCAGTGAGGACTGGAGGTAACGATGACACATGAAATCATCCTGCTCCTGTGTTCTCTGAACAAGACTCAGTGAGGCAGCCATAAGCTCATGTGCTCTCAGGCAACACACACTTTGGGGAAAGTATGTTTGGATTTCATATAGTTAAATGATTTAAGGCCTGACAACCAACACAGCAATTTTAGCCATTTTATTGACAAGGGCTTTTATTGGTCAATGAAGTTTTTGAGTATTTCTAGACTGATTTGCTATCGTACCCTCAAAAAAGCCTTCTGCATTGATTCTGTTCATGGCTAACCAGTTCTTTCCTCCTTCCAGATGTCCAAGTTCAGGGTCAATGGTCACTGCTCAGATGAGATGGTGGTGGAAATGGTGGGCTCACAGCATCCATGGCACGGGTGCAAACTGACCCACTAGAGCTCACAATACAGAGCTTTCTGGAACACGGTGCCAATCAGCATTTTCCCTTTGTACACGGAGGCAACAGTGCTTCCTTGCAAAACTGTACCATTATCTGCATAAACCAATGTAACTTTAGGTTCTTCTGTTAAAATGTTCTGGATTCGGATCACCTATCAAAGAAATAACATTAGCTTTATATTTCTTTTCAAGTCACTCAAAACATAACTTTATTTTTTTTAATTTCCTTTTAATGTTTTATTTATTTCTGAAAGACAGCATGAGCAGGAGAGGGTCAGAGAGAGAGGGAGACACAGAATCTGAAACAGCCTCCAGGCTCTAAGCTAGCTGTCAACACAGAGCCAGACACAGGGCTCGAACCCATGAACTGCGAGATCATAACCTGAGCCGAAGTCGGACAGGTCTTAATCAGGTGACTTTGAACAGAGATAGAGACACATAGGCCTACCCAGACTAGGCAAGAAGTAGAAGTGAGTATGTAGCACAGGCTGGGTGGGAGACATTAGGGGGTAGTAGGGACTATGGCAAATGAGGGAGGCTGTTAGTAACAGTCAGAGTATTGCCATGCTAGAATCCAAGCTAGTTTTGTGTGTTTTCAGAAACGCTAGGAATTTGGTTTTTACATTCTGGCAATTAAAAAAAAAAGCATACTTCTGTACCATACTCCTCTGTTCCTCTGAACTTAAGTTTCCAACTCTAAACATAAAAGATTTTATAAGTTCACTTTCCTTCATTAGTTGAGCAGAAATATGATAACAACAGTGTGGCAGCATGTGAAGCTGACCACATGTAATAGCCAGTATTTGACCACTTTGGTTAATAAAACAGCAGTTTCATATAATTCACACTACTATAAAGAGCACCCTGTAAGGCGGGGGCCCAGGGTCATGTTTTGGATCTTCTACTTACTCTTTGTTTCTCATTCGTAGAACAAAGTGTGTGGGACTAGATTAAGTTTCTTTTCAACTCTAACTTCCTATTATTTTTAAGCCTTTAGGATAAAATACAATGACTAGAAGAAAGGATACCTACATACAAAAGCACCAAATATGGCAGACTAGGGTGGCCAGTGCCTGTGCATAAAAGGTCAGTGGAAGCACTAAAAAAGACCTCTTTAAAACAGCCGGCCCCAAGGACAGACATGTTAGTTACTAGGAAGTAGGTGATGATGCATCTTGGCTTAAGTAAGCCTCTTTCTAATAAAACTAAATCATCCTTCTGTGGGGCAGTGCCTTCGTTAATGGATTGTGATTGCTTTTTGCTATTCCTTACCAAATCCATCATTAGAAAGGAAGTGTTTTTTCCAGAACAGCAAACCAGGTCCACACTATAGCAAGTGACCTAAGTTTGCCAAATGAGCTAACAAGCAAGAACAAATTAGGATCTAACATTCTGCTCCGTTCTGAACAGTGAACACGCCACAGCATACATTTTGTCAATTCTGTTAAACATACCATAGAGCAACCCTAATCGCTAAGAGGAAGCAAAAGGCACAAAGTACTGCCATTAAACATAATCGCAATTGTCCTGTAAGCCTGGAGATAAAGGATATGAAGGGCCATAAAGTAATTGGAAATACACATTTGGTTTTGGGTTTTTTTTTAATCTAAGAGACATGGGCTTAGAAACATTTATTTTGGTGGGTGGGAATGAGACTGACTCTTACTACTGGGCTTGAACTATGTCAAAAATTATATTGGTTATTGGATGTAAATAACAGTATAATTAATACATACTGAAACACTCAAAATAAAAAACTCTGGATGAGTCACAGTAGATGCCTATGGCAACGTGAGTTTAAAATTCTTGTTTGCGGGGCGCCTGGGTGGCTTAGTCGGTTAAGCGTCCGACTTTCGCTTAGGTCACGATCTCGCGGTTCGTGGGTTCGAGCCCCGCGTCGGGCTCTGTGCTGACTGCCAGCTCGGAGCCTGCAGCCTGTTTCAGTCTGTGACTCCCTCTCTCTCTGACCCTCCCCTGCTCACACTGTCTCTCTCTCTCTCCTAGAAATAAATAAAAATATTAAAAAAAAAAAAAAAGAAATTTAAAATTCTTGTTTACACTGCCAAAATAGTCCACTGAATAAAGTGGGGTCTTGGGGCACCATATGAATGGGGTCTTGGGGCACCATAACTAAGATGGAAGGAAAGGTCTTTTACAAAAGCCTACTGGCTCCCTCGCTCTCCAGCTGAGTCAGAATTGACCAACGCGTAGCGGCAGGTTGATGGGAGGGCCGGGAGAGAGCTGAGGCATCCATTCCAGGCCTCCTCCTTGCAGGGACCCCAATGGGTGTCTGCGTCCCCCAACTGGATGGTCTCTCCACGCACAGCTCTCCTCTTGCTCTGGCTTCTAGTAACCGTTTCCGACCTCCCGTCCTAGCTCTGAGGTGAGGCATTCTCTTCTGTTCATTTCCCTACATGTGCCCACACCTTTGTATAGCGTGCCCTTATTAAATCCCCTCAAATTACCCCCATTTAAATGTACCATCTGTCTCCTGCCTAGACTCTAACTAAATGCCTCCCAATGTCAAACTCCTTTTTATATCTCATCATTTGGATCATCTATCCACGTCCCTCCTTGTATTTGCACATATAATTGAGATTTATGTTTTCAACCGAGAAACAGTAGGGAATAGGTTGATGATCTCATTCATTTTTCAAACTAACCTCTGATGCAGGAGGATTCTTCGGGTCATAGAAGAAGATTCTCATGCCGTTAGGATGGCATCCAACCCAAAGGTCCCCTGTCACAGGATCCACGGATA